GCCCCAGGTGTGCATTACCTGCACGTCGGCGTCCCGGAAGCGCCACATCACCTGGGCGACGAAATTTTTCATGGTGTGGAAATCCTGCGGTGCGATGCTGCCCGAGCCGTCCATCAGGAAGGCGATGTCCATCGAGGGCTTCGGACACTCTGCGGACAGAGTGACCGCTGCCCTGAGTGACCGCTGCCCAGAGTGACCGCTGCCCTGAGTGACCGCTGCCCAGAGTGACCGCCACCCTGAGTGACCGCCGCCCAGAGTGACAGCTGCCCAGAGTGACCGCTGGTGCAATTTTGGGGTGGAACTGCCCAAAAAAACTCCAATTTTTGGGGTTCTGCCATCTCGATGTCGACAAAAAGCCAAGATGACCACGGGGTGGTCAGTGGTCAGTGCCCACAGACTGATGACCCCAGCTGACCCCAGATGACCACTGGTCAGTGGGTGGTCATTGCCCACGGACTGATGACCTCAGATGACCACTGGGTGGTCAGTGTCCGTGGAGATGAATGACCCCAGCTGACCCCAGATGACCACTGGTCAGTGGTCAGTGCCCACGGACCGCTGACCCCAGCTGACCCCCGCTGACCACTGGTCAGTTTTTGGTCATTGCCCACGGACCGCTGACCCCCGCTGACCGCTGGCCATGCCGTACCTGGGAAGGCGGCCGGCAGGCTCCGGACCGGCCGGAGCGCGCTGTCCAGCTGGACGCAGAAGCCGTTGAGGTGGACGTTGACCCCGCAGGCCTGGCGGGAGGTGGGGCCGCACACCTGGGGCCGATTTCACCTCAGAAACGGCGATTTTGGTTAAAACCCCCCCGACGCCCCTCAGAACCAGAATTTGGGGTTCCACCTCCATGGGGCCGCCCAAAAAACCCAAATTTTGGGGCGAAACCGCCTGAAAAACTGATTTTTGGGGGTCGACCTCCTCGAAAAACCTCATTTTTTGGGGTGAAATCCCCAAAAAAATCCAATTTTTGGGGTTCTCGCTGACCGCTGGCCATGCCGTACCTGGGAAGGCGGCCGGCAGGCTCCGGACCGGCCGGAGCGCGCTGTCCAGCTGGACGCAGAAGCCGTTGAGGTGGACGTTGACCCCGCAGGCCTGGCGGGAGGTGGGGCCGCACACCTGGGGCCGATTTCACCTCAGAAACGGCGATTTTGGTTAAAACCCCCCCCCCGAGGCCCCTCAGAACCAGAATTTGGGGTTCCACCTCCATGGGGCCGCCCAAAAAACCCAAATTTTGGGGCGAAACCGCCTGAAAAACTGATTTTTGGGGGTCGACCTCCTCGAAAAACCTCATTTTTTGGGGTGAAATCCCCAAAAAAATCCAATTTTTGGGGTTCTGACGCTGATTTTGGGGTGAAACGTCCCAAAACCCAAATTTTTGGAGTTCTATCACACATGAACTCACAAATTTTGGGGTGAAACCTCCTGAAAAACTGATTTTTGGGGTTCGACCTCCTGGATGTCCCAAAAAACCCTCATTTTTCGGGGTGAAACCCCAAAAATATCCAATTTTTGGGGGTCGGACGCTGATTTTGGGGTGAAACCTCCCAAAAATCAAAATTTTGGGGTTCTACCTCACACAAAATGATAAATTTTGGGGTGAGACTTCCTAAAACCCAAAATTTGTGGGGAGGCTTCCTAAAACCACCCCAAACTCCCCAAATTTTGGGGTGGAACCTCAAAAAAAATCAGATTTTGGGGTTCAGACCCCAATTTTGGGGTGAAACCTCCCAAAACCCAAATTTTTGGAGTTCTATCACACACGAACCCCAAAATTTTGGTGCGGAACCTCCTAAAAACCCAAGATTTGTGGTGGAACCTTCGAAAAACACCGAAAAAGTTCCAAATTTTGGGCAAAACCCCCCAAAAACCCAAATTTTGGGGTCAAACCTCCCAAAACCCCAAATTTTGGGGTCAAACCTCCTAAAAAACCCAAATTTTGGGGTCAAACCTCCTAAAAACCCAAATTTTGGGGTTGAACCTCCCAAAAACCCAAAAATTTGTGGTGGAACCTTCTAAAAACACCCAAGAGCCTCCAAATTTTGGGGTCAAACCCCCTAAAAACCCAAATTTTGGGGTCGAACCTCCCAAAAACCCAAAAATTTGTGGTGGAACCTTCGAAAAACACCCAAAAAGCTCCAAATTTTTCGGGCAAAACCTCCCAAAACCCCAAATTTTGGGGCAAAACATCCCAAAAACCCAAATTTTGGGGTGGAACCTCCTAAAACCCCACATTTTGGAGTTCTGCCTCACACAAAACCAGAAATTTTGGGGCGGAACCTCCTAAAAACCCCAAATTTTGGGGTCAAACCTCCCAAAAACCCAAATTTTGGGGTCAAACCTCCTAAAAAACCCAAATTTTGGGGTCAAACCTCCTAAAAAACCCAAATTTTGGGGTCAAACCTCCTAAAAAACCCAAATTTTGGGGTCAAACCTCCTAAAAAACCCAAATTTTGGGGTCAAACCTCCTAAAACCCCAAAATTTGTGGTGGAACCTTCGAAAAACACCCAAAAAGCTCCAAATTTTGGGGCAAAACCCCCCCAAAAACCCAAATTTTGGGGTCAAACCTCCTAAAAACCCCAAATTTTGGGGTCAAACCTCCTAAAACCCCAAAATTTGGGGTGGAACCTTCGAAAAACACCCAAAAAGCTCCAAATTTTGGGGCAAAACCCCCCCAAAAACCCAAATTTTGGGGCAAAACCTCCCAAAAACCCAAATTTTGGGGTCAAACCTCCCAAAAACCCAAATTTTGGGGTCGAACCTCCCCAAAACCCAAGATTTGTGGTGGAACCTTCGAAAAACACCCAAAAAGCTCCAAATTTTGGGGTCAAACCCCCTAAAACCCAAATTTTGGGGCGGAACCTCCTAAAAACCCACATTTTGGGGTCAAGCCCCTCCCCAAATTCGGGGGTCTCACCAGCGCCGCGTCCTCTCCGGCCGCCACCGCCAGGCCCAGTGAGGAATTGACCGCTCCGGGGGGTACTGGGGGCACCGGGTGAGACCCCGCCCCAAATTCTGGGCTCCCAATTTGGGGAGGGGTCTCACCTGAGGGATCTCTAATTTGGGGAGGGGTCTCACCTGAGGGATCCCTGTTTGGGGAGGGGTCTCACCTTTGGGATCCCCAATTTGGGGAGGGGTCTCACCTGTGGGATCCCCAATTTGGGGAGGGGTCTCACCTGAGGGATCCCTGTTTGGGGAGGGGTCTCACATTTTGGGGTCAAGCCCCTCCCCAAATTCGGGGGTCTCACCAGCGCCGCGTCCTCTCCGGCCGCCACCGCCAGGCCCAGCGAGGAATTGACCGCTCCGGGGGGTCCTGGGGGCACCGGGTGAGACCCCGCCCCAAATTCTGGGCTCCCAGTTTGGGGAGGGGTCTCACCTGTGGGATCCCAGTTTGGGGAGGGGTCTCACCTGAGGGGTTCCAATTTGGGGAGGGGTCTCACCTGAGGGGTTCCAATTTGGGGAGGGGTCTAATTGAGGGGTTCCCAATTTGGGGAGGGGTTCCCGTGAATTTGGGGAGGGGTCTCACCTTTTGGGGAATTTTTTGTGGAATTTTTAAGGATGTCTTGGGGAATTTTGGAGATTTTGGGTGGGATTTTTTGGGGATTTTGGGGAATTTTTTGTGGAATTTTTAAGGATGTCTTGGGGAATTTTGGAGATTTTGGGTGGGATTTTTTGGGGATTTTGGGGAATTTTTTGTGGAATTTTTAAGGATGTCTTGGGGAATTTTGGAGATTTTGGGTGGGATTTTTTGGGGATTTTGGGGGATTTTGGGTGGGATTTTTGGGAAATTTGGGGGTTTTTGGGGAAATTTGGGGGATTTTGGGGAAATTGGGGGATTTGGAGGGGGATTTGGGGGAAATTTGGGTGGTTTTGAGGGGAGTTTGGGGAAATTTGGGGGAGTTTGGGGAGGATTTGGGTGGTTTTGAGGGGGGTTTGGGGAAATTTGGAGGGATTTTGGGGAAAATTTGGGGGATTTTAAGGGAGATTTTGGGAAAATTGGGGAATTATGGGAAAATTTGGGGGATTTTAAGGGGATTTTGATTTTCAGGGCTATTTTTGGGGTGATTTTGGGGGATTTTAGGGATATTTTTGGGGCAGATTTTTAGGGAATTTTTGGGCATTTCTGGGATATTTTTGGGAGGATTTTGAGGAATTTTACTGAGATTTTGGGGTGATTTTTGGGGGATTTCAGCGATATTTTCGGGGCTATTTTTGGGTTGATTTTGGGGTGATTTTGGGGGCTTTCAGGGCTATTTTCAGGGATATTTTGGGGTGATTTTGGGGTGATTTCAGGGATATTTTCAGGGCTATTTTTGGGGCGATTTCAGGGCTATTTTTGGGATGATTTTGGGGTGATTTTTAGGGATTTTCGGGGTGGTTTCAGGGCTATTTTTGGGGCGATTTTGGGGTGATTTTGGGGTGATTTTGGGGTGATTTCGGGCGATTTCGGGTCCCCGTTACCGCGCCGTGTCCCCCGTCCCCAGCTGCGCCACATGGGGTGATTTTGGGGTGGATTTTGGGGCTATTTTTGGGGTGATTTTGGGGTGATTTTGGGGTGGATTTTGGGGCTATTTTCGGGGTGGTTTGGGGGTGATTTGGGG